CCCAAGTTTGGAGTACACACCAGAAAAGAAGTATAGACGTTTTGGGTACGTATAAGTTGTTATAATAAGAACCCAGGAACCAAAAAAGTATCAAAGTGTAGTACTCCAATATTGGGTCCACCACTCGCAAGGTTGGGGCTCAGGGTTTAGGGTTTTAGGGTAAGTTTAGGGTTTTAGGGTTTTAGGGTTTAGGGTTAAGGTTTAATACCTTTTAAGGGCTATATAGGGGTTAAATAGGGATAATGAAAAAGAAAATGGAAACTACTATTTAGGGTGACCTTGAAAGGGTTTTGGGGTTTAGGGTTTTAGGGTTATTCTAGGGTTTAGGGCTTTAGGATTTAGGGTTAGGGTTTTAGGGCTTAGGGTTTTAGGGTTTAAGGAAAATGGAAAAGAAAATGGATACTACCATATTATAGGGATTATGTAGGGGTCGAATACTGGTAGGGGTATACCTTATGGGTTTTGGGGTTTTGGGGTTTTGGGGTTTAGGGTATTCGAAGGGTTTAGGGTTTTGGGGTTCAGGGTTTTAGGGTTCAGGTTTTCGGGTTTACGGTTTTAGGGTTGACGGGTTTAGAGTTTAGGGTTTCGAAGTAGGATTTAGGTTTTCGGGTTAGGATGTAGGGCTCAGCCCTGGGTTCAGGGTACTTTAAGAGGCCCCGCCAAAATGATGATAGAACTGTAAGGGAAAGTTTTCGTATCCCACAGTGCCCCCTACTTAAGGTTTAAGGGTTGTTGTTCGAGGTACCAAAATCATGTATGAATAGGTTCTTGGAGAGAATTACAAGGGCAATTCTTCTTTATCCCACCTAGTTATGGGATAGGGTAGAAAGCTCGAAGGCCAAGAAATGGAGAGACAATCCGGTGGCCGTAAGCCCTAAGCCCAAACCCCAACCCAGAAATCCACCTTAGACCCGAAAACCTAAACCCTGAATCCAACACCCAAAACCCTATACACCCTAAACCCGAAGTAGAATCCCGGAACCCTAAACCCGAAACCCCAACACCCCAACTCCTACACCCTGCGCCCTGCAGCTCTTCAACGTACCAAGCTCCCAGCTGCTTCGCTCTTCGCTTTGGCCTTCCGTTTAGCGATTAGGTTTCGGGAAAGTTTAAGGTATAAGGTGTATAGGCTTTAGGGCTTAGGTTTCGGTGTTAGGGTTTAGGGATTAGGACTTTAAGTTTAATTAGGGTTCAGGTCTAATGTTCAGGGTTTAGGGTCAGAAGGGAAGCAGGAATCAAGGTCTGCGGCTACCCAGAACCTCCTATGTAGGGATGGTATATTTAAAGCCCCTCACAGTTATGTTTGGGGTTTAGGTTTGGGGCTTGGGGTCGGAAGGGAAACAGGAATCATTTTGGGGTGGAATAGTAAAAGCCCTTACCAAAAAGAGGTAACAAACCCAAGCAGAAGGACGTAGGAGCCCGTGGGTACGGCTGTGGGATCGGCTGAGGCTGGTTACGGGCTTGCAGTTATTGGATGCTTAGGTCTTCCAGCGTTCATTGGTGGTTTTCATTTCAGTCCACCTCGGCAATCATGCCTGCCAGCACCGAAAGCCTGGACTCCAATTTGTCGTCGACTCGAAAAGAAGGTACCATGCTGTACTGATCGTCCTGTATGTAGAGGTCAATGCCGTTCAGCTGACACTGCAGCATGCCAGTGAACAGCAGCGCCTTTTGGACGTCGCCGCCTAGCACCTTCATCATCTCATGCAGCTTCATGACGTCAGCCCGCAACGCCTCAATGGGGCCCTTGTGAGGTTCGGAACTGGGCGAAGAGCGGCAAGAGCGCATTCACCAAATTGGGGTCGAACGCCATGGCTGCCTTGAAGCACGTGCCGAAATCTCCGCAGGTGGGACATCCGAATATAGGGGAACCTGACTCTATTGGTTAGGGGTTCAATTTGTATCTTGCCGGCCGTGGCTCTTGAGGTGGGTTCCTACCGTGCCAACCCAGGCCAAATGAGCTGTAGTCTAACTTCCTTAAACGGGGGCTATATAGGGGATTGAAGACCCGAATCTATGCCTAAGCCCAGTGAACACATCAAGTTTCGTCACTCCTATGCCTGAAACGAACATCCTCATGCTCTGAATGGGGTTGGGTCTCGAGTTTGAGTGCTACGCCCTAAGCCCGAAACCCTAAGCCGTAAACCCTAGACCCTCAACCTCGAAACCCCTGAACCCTAAACTCTAACATCCTAAACCCCAAGTTTCTCTCCGTACCCTCAAATTTTCTGTTGAACTGCTTGGGAGCCCTTATCAAAGATCCGTATATGAGCTATCGACCTGGAGGGGGGATTTATAGGGGATCTAAAGGGACCTCTAAGGAATATAGTGCAACTTTAGTCCAGGGCTCATTTGAGGATGCGCAAGGATGCCGAGGGACCTTTCGACTACAAGACAAAGGCCCAAAAGGAGGCAATTCCCTCACTCCTACAGAAACATTCCACGGAAGCGGCTTTAGTGGTTGGAAGCGCCTGAAATATACAAACGCATCTATCCATTTGCATAGTGTGACTTGCGGCGGAAGTTCAGAAGTGCTTGAAGAGAATCCAATTGGCACCTTAAACCTAAACCCTAAACCCTAAACCCCTAACCCCCTAAACCCTAACTATTCGCTCCTAGAACCTTCTTGTGAGATGCCAGCGGCAGCTTTGAAACCCTGAACCATGTAAGCTGCTTGACGCCAAGCTGTCCTCAAACCCCAAAATCCCCAAATCCTTGAACCCCCCTAAACCCTAAACCCTTAACCCTAACTCTCAACCTCCTGGCCCTGGACCCTACCTCTGACTCTAAACCCTAAACCAGAATCCCTCTCATAGCACCAAGTAACTCAGCAGTTAAGGGCCAACTTACAAAAACCGAGAATAATCTAGCCCCAAGCCCTCGGTTCAGGTTCACGCGATTTAGGGTGTAGGGATTAGGGGTTTAGGGTTTCTGGCTTAGGGCTGCGAACTATGACCCGATGAATCAATGCCAGAATAATGGGCGACCCTGTAAACCCTATAGATCTTACACTTAGAAACCCCATATACAATACAGTGCAAACCCTTCGAAATCTGTATGTACTTATGTCTACCCACAGTTAGCACCCTACTTGGAGGGTCAGCGGGACTTATTAAGTAGATGAATAACCCATATAACCCATATAATAACCCTAATTATCTCCGTTCTTAACCTACTCACCGAGTCCTCCTGACCCTCCAGGTAGGGTCTAGTGGTCTGAACCTTGGGTCAAAATTAGGGTTCCATACCTTGAGCTCTATAGGGTTCCGGCCCTAAACCCTATGCCAATCTACATATATTTATGTCTACACACATTTAGCACCCTATGGATTATTCCCCCTGACCCTAAGCCCTAAACCCTAAACACTAGATCCTATATTATATAATGTAGTAGTTTCCATTTCCTTTTCCATTCTTACTACCCTAAACCCTAAACCCTGAGTCCCCCATTATTGACTGCACTTTCCAAAGCCCCTTCTTTCCGGCCTTCCGCGCGGCCTGGAGCTCTGCGGAGATGCGGCGCTCCGCCTTTTCGACCTGCGAAAAAAAACGTAAATGAGTAGCTTTTTTTTGGTGGTTNNATATTGGGTACCCTAATATCCCCAAATAAAATACTACTCCACTGGATTTTGGGGGTTTAGGATTTAGGGTTTAGGGTTCTGGGAGCATTGAGTGTTTAAGCTTTGTGAGGTCTGGATTTTGGCTTTAGGGACAGAGCGACTCTAAGAGGGCTCTAGTTGAAGGTTCGGTTGTAACAAGAAGTCACAAAGGCAGTCCCCTAAGTTTGGATAAAATTAAAGTCAGCCCAATAGTAGTCCCTTCTTACAACTACCCAGGACCCTTTAAGGACTCTTCAGGCTTTCCACTTCTTTTTCAAAGAAACGATTCTTCGAGATGTTATGCCTCTTCAGGGCTGAAAAGTTGAGGGCAACCTTAAAAGGACAGAGGACAGACTATTTAAGGGTTGAGGCTTACCTAGACCCCCAAAGTATGTAGAAGAATGGCCTGTTGGGCTATATTTAGGGGTTATGGGCCATTATTTTACATACTTTTGGGGTCCAGGTAGGGATATGTAGGAATCCCCTGAACCAGACACCTCTATCCTAAGCCTCGAACTCGAAACTAGCATGTGAGCTAGGGTCTGAACTCCTAGTACCCCCCTCAATAACCCCTATAGTAGTCCCCTGTATAATCCCCTATATAGCCCCCTGTAAGGAATTTGGGCTATAGCGAATGTGGGCCCTAGGGTTACTTGCGGATGAGGATTTGGGGTGCCGCGTTTCGGAATTGAGCTCTGGGAATGAAGGTTTGGGGGCCAAAGGTTCGGATCTAATATGTACAGAGAACGTGCTAGGTCTAAATAAGGACTTTGAGGAAGTAGCATCCATAAAAAAATCGTCTCTTGTGACAAGGACATCCTGAGATTCCTTGCGCCCTTTCTTCTTCGTGTGCCTTGCAGCGGAGACTGCATCTAGAATACGCAATGTACTCTTTAAATGGGATGTCTAGGAGCACCCCAACACCCTAAACCCTAAACCCTGAACCCCTGAATCGTAAAGATTCCCATGCCGGAGCGTCAGAGCCCATGCCCATGCCAAACAGCAGGACCCGCACAGCTGCGAATGTAACCCTAAACCCTAAGCCCTGAACTCGAAGCCCTCAGCTGGAAAACCCTAAACCCTAAACAGCGTCGAAGCCATCGACAGAAGCTGTCCACCTTGAAATCTGTACCACCCTTTCGGTGTACAGTTTGTAGGTCATAACAAATGAGGTTTTAGTCGGGATGACCAAACTCTGGTTAGAACAAATCTAGGCCCACTTCGGTTGCAGTGCATATTGCCGGGAGCAAGAAACAAGATTCAAAAACAGGAACTTCGGACTAGAGGCTGCACAATTACGAGTTCAGGGTTTAGAGTTTGGGGTTTAGAGCCCGAAGCCCCTATAAACCCTGGATAGGATACCCATTGGGGTAATTTTGGGGTTACATAGGGATAATGGAAAAGAAAATGGAAACTACTACTTAGGGTTTAGGGTTTAGACCTTGGGGTTTGAAACCCTAAGCCCAAACCCCCACAGGGCTCAAGGTTTGGAACCCTAAGCCCTATGTCCTGGACCCGTGTAAGTAGCTTAGACTTGGGCTCCCGAACTCATAGTTCAGGGTTTAGGTTTTAAAGAGTTTAGGATTTCAAGTTTAGGGTTTAGGGATTGGGTTTAGGGTTTTCATTCATGCCCTGAACCTGAGAGCAGCTGAGGCCAGAACTACCTCGACTTCCTCGATGAACGCATCGTAGAGCTGCTTTCTCCCAACAATCCTGGCGAGTGGGGCCCACCAAGGAACCCTGACCTGTCGAACTTGCTTCAGATGGGTTCCATGTTTGCTTGGGGGGGATAATTCCCGATGGGTGTATGTATGTATGCCCGTATGCAGGTATGCATGCATGCATGGTAGGTAGGTAGGGACGTGGTGGGTATATATCACCCCACCGACTTTTTTTGTAAGTTTCCACATCCTTACATGCACCTGAGCCCTAAACCCTAAGCCCTACACCCCTTAACCCTGAAGCCTCTAAACCCCTAAGCTCCAAACTCCTAAACCTCAACTCCTAGACCCTATATCCCTAAACCCTTACACCCTTAAACCCCCTTAAACCCTTAAACCCTAAACCCTTATACCCTAGACGAGTAATCAAGGCAGGCATGCTCTATGATCTCGCCATCTCTGTTCAGCCTGATGCACTCCTGATGAGCTGAAGTCTCAGGGTTTATAGTCCCCCTCAAGTAGATAGAATTTGGGGTTTAGGGTTTAGGGGTTTAGGGATTTCGGGTTTGGGGTTTAGGTTTAGGATCTATAGTCTTCCTTCAGGAGATAGAATATGGCTTGGCGTATATTATAATAAGATCCCCATATGCCCCATATCTATCTACTTAAGGGGGACTATAGGGTTCAGGGTCGACCTGTTGAGCCATGTGTAGATGGACTTGGCTTTCAGGAATTCGGGCTTATGGTGATGGAGGGGGGGTGTTTCTAGCCAACATGAAAATGAACCCAGGATTGAAGCTCCGCACCACATCCGGACATATCCAATACGTCCTCAGCCCTAGACCCCAACCTTCGCAACTCTAAACCCCACAACCCCCAAACCCTCAGTCTGAAACGCTGAGCCCTAAAGCCTAAACCCTTAAACCCTAAACCCTAAACCCTTAAGCCCTTAAACCCTTAAACCCCCAAACCCTAAACCCTTAAACCCTAAACCCCAAGCACATTGCGTCGCCTTGAGCTCCACATAGGACTCCCGATTGTCCCAGCCCACTCGCTTGTCGGCGATGGTGCCTTCGTAGTCGAGCCGCTCCTTCAAAGGGACTTATTGGGTTTAGGGTTCAGGGTTTAGGGTTTAGGGTTTCATGTTTGGCAGTTTAGGGTTTGAGATTTAGGCTTGCGCTTCTGCAGGATCAAAGACTCAAAGTTTAGAATGGTAGTCTGAAGGTTCTTTGGTAGTTTCCAGCACTTGGACCCCCAAAAGTACCCTTAATCTGGGAAGGCCGACTCCAGGGCCGAAGCGGCGTTGCACCTTCCTGCCTGCCGTTTCTGGAGTTTTCGTCCGACTGAGCTCATAAGCCCCTAAACCCCAGACCCTAAACCCTAAACCCTAGATCCTAAACCCTAAGCCCTGAATCCTAAACCCTAAGTCCTAAACCCTAAACCCTAAGTCCTAAACCAATGGACTGATTGGAACCGCCAAACTAGGATTCGACATCCGAGCCGCATTTGCGAGCTGAGATGAAACGTGCCTCAAACTGCGAAGGCTCTACCTCTAGCCTCATATGCCTACAGTTTCGTAGGACTGTCCCCACTGACTAGTAGGTGTAAAGCATGAAACACCATAAAGCTGTAGGTAAACCGTCGGGGTAGCAATCCTAAACCCTAACAGGTATAATCTTGTAGGATTACATACGCATAAACCTCTCTCGGGCAGATTGTTGTGCTACTCGTTTGCAGCTAGGCGCTCGCTTGAGGTGATTATGCGTTCATTTTGCGCTTGTTCTGTGCCAGTATGCCGCGTCAACATTCACCAGCAGCATGCCGCGTTTAATCAGCGCACAATGCGCGTCAAACTGTGGTTGTTCCATAGACCTATAAGATCAGACAGGGATCCTGTATGTTATATCTACATATATACCCCGAGCCATATATAGATATACATACATAGATATACATATTTACCTCCTACATTTTACACATACATTATATATATATATACATATATGTATACACACAGATTTATACATTTTTACATGTACATAGACATGTTTATATACATATATAGATATATATATATATATGTCCATGTACTTATATACATAGATATAGATAGATCAATAGATATATATATATAGATACGTTGATATAGGGGTTGCTGTGGAAGAAGGCTAGCAGAAGACAACCCCGAGACAGAAGATCTTCCTAGCATTCCTAGCCACCCAAGCGTGGAATGGCTCTTGGTGGGGGGGTTGAAGTTTTAGGGTTTGGGGGTTTAGGGTTTTGGGGTTAAGGGTTTAGGCTTAGGGGTTTAAGCGCGTAAGGTGTAGGGTTTTAGGGTTTGGGGTTTAGGGTTTGGGGTTTAGGTTGGTTACACGTCAAGCCCACCTGTACATTGATAAGCCGGCAGCCCAGAGGCCTGAACGGTCATGTGTAGTTAAGTGGGGTGTAGTTTTGAGGGGTATAATGAGGATAGCATGCCTTGTGATCTACCCCAGGTGACCTTGAGCCCCAGCTATCTTACTGGTTCTTAGTAGGGAATGAGGGAATATAATCGCTATAGTGTCCCTACAAAACAGATTCCCATATTCCCTACTCGTCACCAATAAGTTATGACAGAACCCTCCTAATATGTTCAGGGGGCGCGTGGATGGGACTATCAGACACAAGTGATTACCCAAACCTCAAAAAGGTAGCTTCCGTTAGACCACGGTGATTACCCAAATCCCCAAATGATAGTTTGCGTTAAAAGGGGGAACACCACAATAAACCCCAATATACTATAATCCTGATATATGGGACCCCCCAAGATCATCACCCCTAATCTTTTGATCCCCCCGATGAGAACCCAAAACCCGAAACCCTAAACCCAAATCCTGAAGCCGCAACCCGACTGTCACCTCCAGAACGCCGAAGCCCCTCTTCTCGCGGTAGCGGATGGCCACATGAGCACCTGAATACAGCCCAAGATCCTAAGGAGTTTGAGGGGTTAACGGTTTTAGGATAAGGTTTTAGCGTCATTTACGCAGAGCGCAGCACCACTATAAAGCCATATGAGGAGATTGAAATTAGAAGTAGTTACTAAGCTCAATGAACCTCAAAGTAACCCAACCACCCGAAACCTTGGCCTCAACAGTCCATCCACATACTCTATTAAACGCCGAAATCATGAACTCTGAGCCCTAAACCTTGTGACCCTAAACCTGAAATCCCTATACTTAGCATCCCTGAGCCCTGAAAGCCCTGGAACCCCTGAACCCTAAACCCGACACCCCATATCCTCCAATCCCTTAGCCTCAGCTCCCTAGAAACCCCTAAACCCTAAACCCTGAACCCTGAACCCTGAACCCTAAACCCTATACCCTAAACCCGAAATCAGACCTCTGGGTCCCAGGCCCAATCGCAGCCCTTTGAGAAGCATGCGGCGCTGCCCAGGACCCTTGCCTGCTTCTTGGGGCTTTCTTGAGGTTTAGGGTTTAGGGTTTAAGTTTTCGGTTTAAGGTTTAAAGACTTTCCAAACCCCCAAAATGCGTGAAATAATGGCCAATAAGCCTTGAAATGCTCAACAAAATCTTCTGCATACTTTGGAGGTGTAAGGCATTTATGGTTCCGGGTTTAGGGTTCCCTCCCTTCCGGAGCCTTGGAATTGAGGGTTTAGGATTCCACAATTTTTGAGTAATAGAGCGCAAACGTAGGTAACATCATGGCTCAACACCCACTTAACATAGTCAGAAAGGCTGTTGTTCCCCCCAAACCCTAAACCAAACCTAAAGCCTAAACCTTCCGCATATTTTTGCATATTTTTGGGCTTTTAGGTTTCCAGATAGAGGCTGAAAGGCATTTGGGCTAAAGCGGGCCCACAGCATCCTGAAAGGTTGCCCTTCTTGCTGCCACCCAAGGCATGGATGTTCCCTCCTTCAGGGGCTTAGGGTTGAGGGTTTACAGTTTCAGGTTATAGGGTTTAGGGGCTTAGGGGTTTAGGGCTAAAGGGTTGAGGGTTTAGGGGTTTATAGGGTTTAGGGTTTTTTCGTTTAGGGTTCAGATTCACATTCCCTATTGTGGATGCTGAACATCCTGCATGACCCTAAGTACCGCAAACCTTAGGACATCTTGTACTCCACTATACCGAAATCATCCAAGATTTTGAATGTCAACGGTGCAACTACCTCAACCAGCCACAAAACCCCCTATATTTTGGGTCAGTAGCACAAGCCGAAGGCCCTGCCCCTAAACCCCAAACCCTCGAATCCTGCGCCCTGAGCCCAATTCCCAGGCTGTGGGCCTCTCGCACTAGCATCTCTTGAGGCCTTACTTGGAGGGTCAGGGGGACTTACGGACTTAGTAAGTAGGTTAATAATGGGGATAGTTAGGGTTACTATATGGATTTTCTGGGTTGTTGACCTACTTACTAAGTCCCCCTGACCCTGCAAGTAGGTGCCTAACCACGTCAAGAAGTCTCTCAACTGATCTGACGGTTCAGTTTGATTCTTGGCACATCTAACATAGGCAGCATCTCGGGAAAGGTCTTCCATTTGCATTGTCCCAGATAGAATTTGTGATCTCCCCCAAGCCATCTGCATTGGTCCGGCAGGTACGGCTGAAGACGTCGATGCGCGCACGTAGGACGAACTAGCGGGCGCCTTCGCCTTTGCATTTAAAGGACCCAAGGTTTCCATTTCATTTTCCATTTTCTTTTCCATTTGATTCTCCATTATTGGGGGATAATGAACATGGGGCTTCAGGCCATCCCTAAACCCTATTGTGGGCTCGCATTGACCACAAAACCAACACCAGGTACTCCGGCTCCAACATGGATGCCCCCAAAACCGCTCGTAAGTCCTATACTTATACTTCCTACCCTACCGGACCTCAGCAAAATCACGGCAAACACTAAACCCCAAATCCTCCGCTTTCAATCCTCCCATCCTCCCCTTCACCAGAATCATGGCCTCTGCGACTACTGTTAGGGGATTTTGGGGCCGCTCTTTTACCAAATTACTTGTTGGGTTCCAGGTAGGCCCTTTACTAATGCTGGACCTGCTTTATTGCACAAGCCCTCCATCATGTGCTTAGGCGGATGCTTAAAAGTCCACGGCCAATGATAGAAGGCTGGGCGGGGCCTCAGAGATTAACGAGAGTCCCACATCAGACTCTAGCCCAAGAATGTCAATCCTGTCCATAGACCTAACTGGGGTGCTGTTCAGGAGTTTGAACTAACTTACTTTGTTAAGGAAACCCTGTTATTGACTGTATACCCATATTTTGGCAACTTCATGCACCAAGCCCTAAACCCTAAACACCCTAATCCATCCCTGAACCCAAGGTCCTAGCCCTTCACCCTTACTCTTTTACAAGGCCTCCGCGCGGCGCTGCGCCGGCCACTCCACCACATGGCCCCGAAGCCATGTTAGGAGTTTAGGGTTTGGGCCTGAGATTGAGGGTTGGAGTTCAGGGTTGGGGTTTGGGGCTGAGGGTTTAGTTGTTTATTTAGAGGGCTATTTTCTTGGTGTACGGCTTTGGGACTTTCTTTGCCCGGGACCTCTTGTCCTTACTTTTACTTACAAAGTTTGGAATGTCGGGCTTTTGGTTCAGGCTTTGGGTATCAGGGTTCGGCATGTGGGTTGTTGGTTTGCTGTTGGTTTCTGGGTTGGGGCTTAGGAATAAGCACTCCGAGCAAGGGGCTTTTGGCCCTTTGGAACAATTGGGATGTGAAATAGTGAAAGTGCACGAGGCTTTTGAGGGCTTCTATGCTTAGGTTTTAGAAGCAACCCTAAACCCTAAACCCCAAACCCTAAACCCTAAACCCCAAACCCTAAGGTGTTTAAAGCTATGATACAGAGAGTCCTGGGATGATGCTTCATGCATCCGGGGTGTGGTATCTTGAGCTTAAGGTTCCCTTGGCTATGGTGTATATACATCATATACATGTGTATAATTACATCTGTAGATACCTGTACATTTTTCGTCTGTTATACATACTGTATAATTGCTGGTTCAATTTCAAGGCTTTCCGGTTGAGCTCTTCGAGTTAAATTGATCTTAAAAGCTGCAGGGCCATAGAACATGTGCGCCTTTATACAAACAACTCTTTCAAGGAGGACTCCTTAAAGGGGCCCCCTCATCACCCTGATAATCCCCTGGGTAATGCTCATATACTAATTTGGTGGACCATAATTTGAAGATTCCCACATGTGTAGGCAGCTGCATGAAAGTTTGCGAGGGTTTTCCAGCTGCCTTCGTTGAAGCTCATGCTTTGAGTTGCTCCAGCAGTGTCGCCGCTCCACTCACTCACCCTAAAACCCTAAACCCTTATTCCTAGAAAAAAGACCATCAATCCCCTCAACCCTAAACTCTACTAAACTGGCCCCAGAACCCAACTATTTTTTAATGTTTTGGTTCTTATTAGGATTGCAATGACCAAAAGAATATTTTGGAGGCCCCTATGGCCTTAAGCGTAACCCTGAGCCTTCGTTTGGAAAGCCCTTGTCCAGATTACACACGCACATATAAGACAGAATCTAAACTCCTTAGAGGGGGTTATATATGATGCACGGTTTTTATTT